TTTATAAACCTACTAAATCATATAATACTTACAATCACTTTTAACTGTGTAATAGATTGAATTTAATATTGTTATTTTAATAGACAAATTAATAACAAACTGAATAATATTATACAGTTTAGAAACATGATATGACAACTTCTGTTTTCTTGAATGTATTAATGGCTTATTTCATGTTTATATTTTTAAAATGTTAGTAATGTTTTAGTGGCAAACAAAAATCGCTTATAGATGCTATGCTCAAAGAAAATGAAGAACTATCTAATTTATTAAATGAATCAGAAGTTCAAAATATGGTGAAATTATATTACTATGCTTTTAGTATTTCAGTTAATAACATTATTTGTTAATTTTCAGTTCTCGTCCATTAAACATTGCCACGGGCAGCTTGTTGAATTAAAAAAAAAACTCATGTTTTTACATAAGAAAACTATGACATTAGAAGTAAGTTTTATTATTATTTGACAATATAAATATTATACAGTATATAGGAAACTTTCTATTTGTTCTTATAATTCAAAACATTTTAAAATCAATTATATAGCTAGTATGTCTTATTGTATACATTACATTTTACAATGTAACATTTGAACAAGTTTAGAAATAAGAAGTATGCTCAACAGGAACCATGTTTTTGTTTTAGTTTGCACATGTGCTTTGCCTAGTGTATTTGTGCATACTGCATTGCGTACAATCAAATGCATACGTGTGACATCACCTTGAGGTTATTGATGGTTGCATATAAAAATTATACATTGCCCCTTAAAAAATATATGCAGTTTTATCATTCAACATACTTCTTATTCTTCATACCGGGGAGGTCCAATAATGTTGTTTAAGGGTTTGTACAATATAATAAGTAGGGCATGGATGTTGAATTTGCAGTTTTTCTTTTACTGTTCTAATATATTGCTAAATAAGTTATAAATATGTTTCATAAAAGTACAAATTAAAATCTACAATTATTAAATTAAATTTGGAATGTTTTCAATTTTAATGCAATTTTGTTGAGTAAACAAATAACTCATTTATAAAACAATTTTTAATATTTTTCAATTTTATTACTCTAGTTTCTACTTATTGGCTTCAAATCAAATTTGAATTTGAAAATTCCAAACAAATAATTATCCATTTAAATTATGTTTAGGGTGAGATTGTAAAATATTCTTTTTTTTATAGAATTTAAATATGGTTTAAAAAAAAAGTGAAAGGATTTTTTATTAGATATTTATTCAGATTATACTGTGAACTGGTAAAGTTAAAAAAAAAAAAAAATTATAACTAGCATTTTTATACTTTAATGAAAACTGCAACCAATTTTACTAAACACATTTCAACAATATTTTATATTAATATGATTAAAATAAGAATTAAAATGCTATTTGTATTTATTCATTTTTATTTCACTCAAGAACATAATAGAAAATATTTACCATATGTACCATATTTATCTATAGAGCAAATAATACAAAAACAGTTAAATGTATATAAGTATATTTCTGTAGTATATATATTTCTAAAATTAATAGTTGTGCATTTCATTAATTTATGGTTTCATAAAGTTAAAAATATATGTTTATCTATTTATAATTGGTATGATACGGAAGTGTAGGAGCGCCACATAATCTACAGCAAAAATTGTTTCAATATTTGTTTTCACAATTAATTTTTGTGCTTTAATGGATATGTTGACTAAGGTCTTATGATGTTTAATCACTTGAAAATATATCCGTTCTTACAAATCAATTCATTGTAATACCAATAAAACAAAATCTGCAATAACAAATATTGAAAAACATTTTGCTTTGATTTGGATGGTACTCCTACACTTCTGTAGTATGAATGAACTACAAAGGTAATTTTTAAGTTTTTAATTTTTATTGTTTATTTTCAACATTATTGAGGAACACTTTTTGTGTACATTAATATGTATATAAGTAGTTAATTAAAATTAAAACCTAATGTATTTTATATTATTGTTTGAGTGTGTAGTAATTAGTAAACGTGAAGAATTTATTCTTAATATAAAATTACTCAATTATTATTTATTTGTTTTATTTGTATGTTATAATATACTATTATTATAATTTAGAAAAGAGCTAATGTGTTGCGTGTAGCTAAACAAAGAGAAGCACTACAAAGAGAACATCAGAAAGAATCGATGTTGGTACGGGAACAAGAACTAATATCAAAACAGACATAGAATTATGCACTTATAAAAGTACAGGGATAATTCATATTGAACTAAATATTCAATATTTACACAATGTTTATTAATTAAAATTTACTCTTAATATCTGTATTTTATTTTTAAATTGCACAAAATTAAATAATCTTGTTCTTAAATTTTCAAAATTTATTAAGCATTTGAAGCGATAATATTATATTTTAATGTACAACTAAATATATTATTTATGTTTAAAAAAGTATAATATAATATGGAATCCAAACAATTATTATTGAATGCGTAATGTGCAGAATATAATTAAAAGAACTATCAAATGTAATTAATCAACTATGTTATAACTTTTGTCCTTTATAATTTGTTATTATTTATCTTATGGCAAACTTTAATCCTCTTTTCCAATTCAATACATATAAAAAAATTGAAGTGTTACTATTGAAAACTATAAAATAATATTACGGTTTTCTTTTTATCCTGTAGTTTATTAATTTTATTAGTTATTTCTGTCTGTAAACTCTGTATATTATATTATTTACATATTTTAACAAACTACCTAAATTATATGTTGTTGACATTAGATTTATGTTATTTCTTACATTACTGTACCCTATTTTATGTTTAAATAAATTGTCTTGCATACATTTTTTATAAGCTATGACTAAATTATTGTTCTTACCTAATATTTTATTAATAATGATTAATTTCATATTTATATAATTTAATGTTTTTTATATTAGTATATGAACATAACTCATTAATTTTTTTCAATTGTACTTACTAATTAATATACTTCAATGATGCGCGACCAATTATTCTATTTCAACCTTCAGTTATAAGTTCACTTAATTACATTAGTTGCATTATTTTCCTGTTAATTTGAGTTATTTTTTTGTTTTAATTGGTTCTTAGCAATAACTGCGTCTGCCCTAGTAACATTGAATTATAAATAAGAAAAAGGATTTATCCAAAATATTTAAGCCAAAAATAATTTTGTCCGAACTGTAATTAAACTAGCGGCTATAATAATAGTATAATATTGTCAAAGTATAGTGAGTACTTTTTTTATTAGTTGCCCTTCTGCTCTCCAAATGTGTATTAATCACTATAATAGTTTTGTTTCTTTTAAATGCTAAGATATTTGGTCTGTTGTACAATTTCTGTAATTCATAGTTTCTTTTTCTTTCATAAATATTCATCTCTTGGTTAATATTACCCATGGATGTTCCAAAGTACTTTTTAAGTTTGTATATTTTTTTATTCTTTTTATTTTAGTATCACTTAACCATATATTTTGTTATTAAGCATCCTCTATGTCTGGTATAAATGTGCAGAAGAAATCGCAATCTGACTTGATGTGATGGACAAAAAATGTCATGAAAGTACCTTTTATTGAACAGATTGATATATCATAATGGGAAATAACACAGGCATTTGTTGTCCGTGTCTAACAGTAAATGTACACTCAGCAGATCACGTTTAACATTTATAGTGATGACCTTTTATTACACTTGATGGTAAGAACATAATCTGTGTGTGGGTTTTTTACAGTAGTTCAATTTTTTAGAAACTTTAATAAACAGTGTCAGACTGGCTCAAAAAGTCCCAGTTCATTTGGAAAAGGGGCCCCCAAATGGCAAATTTTTTTACTTGTTTAATGTTAAATATTCTTACCTTTTACATTTGTTGAAAAACTAAGTTTTTGTTACTTATGTCATAGGCACATTCAAGACATTTCTGCATTTCTTTCTTCTTTATTTTTTACCGATCAGCTTCGTATTTTCTTTTATACATCACGAATCACGATTAAAATAATAACGGTTAACAGTTACAACTTACACGACGTCAAGAAGATTAAAATCCATTTAACAGACAATGTTATATTACAACTTTTAGTTTAGTTTTAATGCCATGAAAACAAATAATCATATTCCAAACAAAATAAATGAACGATGTTAAACTATAAATTATTCTAGTAATTATCATAGATTAGAATTCTGAATTTAGAACGGTTTGTGTAAAAGAACATAATATTATATTATTATTGACTTTACAAGCTATTTATAACACTATTGCCTCCATGTGTATGAGTACAATGCTTACCCAAAATATAATAATTCAGTTACAACTTACAATCAGTGATAATGAAAGTACCAAGTCATACACATTCGCCCGTATACATATAATACAATACAATAATAATCACGACAATCAATGATACACATTTGTATATAGACAGCTATTAAATACGTAGAATTAAAATGTCATTATTTTAATAATTATTGGGAACTTCTTAATATTTTAAACAAAAAGCGGGTGAGTGGATGTCGCTCTGCTGTACATCAGGTGTCTAGGTCACTGAGATGGATGGTAGTATTAAATTTGAATTCAGTGCTATCAATCCTTCTATAGGAAAAAAACGATTCTGAGCACTGAGCAGGGACGGTATGTCTGTCTCTAATATTTTATATTGTTATTACTTATTATTAATATGGTAGTCGGTAAGTTGAATTAATATTATTCTTAAATTATTAGTGATGCTGGAAAAATATTAAATATGCCTATGTAAAATTGGGCTGTTTTGGAACCGAATTACAACAAAATAATAAATATTTGTGTATATATGTACGATGTAGGAACGTTCAAGTGTTTACAGTAATTTGTTTTTGAATTACAACAAAATAAGAAAATCGCTACAAGAGAAATTGTGTGAATATCCAATGTTGTAAAAATTTTAATTTTAACGCTCATACAAATTTAATTTGACTTTCCGATAGAAATCTTTTTTTTGATAAAGGTAGACAAACTTATAAGTAATATTTTATTTAATTTTTCAATCTTAGATATAAAAAGAAAAATTTTTATGAACCTCTAACTTTTATAGATATTAGTTTAAAAGAAACAATTAATAATCGAAAATTGCATATACCTATAAATAGTTTAACACGAGTCAAAATATTAAAAAAAAATTTTGGTGTATAGAAAATGCTAAGACAAACATTCAGTGAAAAAGTCATGTATCTACTGTTATTTTTTTTTAGAGTTGCACTAAAAACCAAAATTGATTTTTTCGAAAACTGCTTTTGCGAAAATTTCTCGTAGGTATTTCCTTAATTTTTTGTTAGTTTTTCTAAACGCATTTGAAAACTATTGAGAATTTTAGATCTTGACCTCCCGAAAGCACCAACTAGATTCACTTTCCTACCAGAGTTGCTGTTGAAGAAAATCGAAGCACTTTAACTGCTCCAAACCGTAATGTTAAACACAAAAAGAAATAATGTATAAATAAAAAAACACACATCATTGTAAAATCAATACACTCATTGCTGCTCTCAGAATCTAAAATACTGACTTCAGGCCACAGAAAAATAATCTAAAAACATTTAATTAATATCAAACAAAAACTTTCCCGTAAATTAATGTATTGGTTTCACAATGATGTGTTTTTTTTTGTATTTTTGTGTCCATTTTCTAGTAGAAAAATCTCAAAAAATTATCTGATCATCGACTTTTAAAAAGAATATGTATTCAATCTTGTTTTGAAAAATGTTGGGCTCTAAAACAAAATCCTAGATCCACCACTGGACACTGGCTAGTGGCTTAAACAAAAAAAATGATAACAATCGAAAAATTCAGTTCTTTTCATTTTTTATCAGTGATATGTCAACAATAAACACTAAACATTCGCCTCTTAAATAAAAGAGAATTGCGGCAATTTCATCGACATTTATTGTATTATGTTAATAACAAATATTCGAAACCCGCTAACGTTAATTGAACTTATTTCTATTTATTAAATAATTAATGATCCGTCGGAACGAAGACATCGGGACAACACTAATATGATTGCTGATAAAGTGATAACAACCTCTCTCGCCGCCGCAGTTACCGACCATACTCGTCATTACTCGGCGACTCACTCGTTCGATTAAATGTCGTCGTGCTGTCGTCGTCGCCGGTGATAATATGGTACGCGCGTTTCTCGAAGCCGTACTGGCGTTATCATTATTGTTTAGTGTTTACGGAATAATTTAAAAAAATCAAATCGATGTCGTACAAACTACAATAACAACAACTACAATTTTGCCAACGAAGTTGTTTGATTCGTAAATCAATGGAATTCATGTGGTCATCGCACATTCGAGACGGTGTACTCTCCACAAGTCAGCCCGTCTTCATATGAACAATGAAGTTCTGTTGACGGACTTTGGCGTCCAAACAACGCTACGAAACGGTGCCTTGCACGATTTTCATTTAGCAACGATAAACAACAGGTAAACGATGTAACCGATCTATCGATGCCGTTTTTACATTTTTATTTCATAATATTATCGCAGGTACAATTGCATTTGTACCCTTTATGTTTGGGTTTTATTTAGCAACGCCATTGTTAGCATTTTTACTACCCTATGTACAACCGCTATTATCAACTGTAATAATGTTGTGTGTGTACTGGTTGTACACTATTGGGCATTGGAAAGTATAAAAAGGTTAGGTTAAATAAAAATTATAGCTATAGTAGGAACATATGGTACGTAGGAACGGTATGTTCGATGACATTTTTTAGGATTATTTTATGAGCTGTTCGGATTCATTATTTAACATAAAATAACAAAAAAAGTACAATGTTATGATAATTGACATAATTAAGTAGTTACGCTACTTTTATATCAATGCCAACATCTCAATTTATGAGTAGAACCTATTGCAGATGTATTTCTATTATCATTAGATACTATCTATATTACACATTGAATGGGTTTAACTACCATTAGAACTGAATATAGTCATAAAAATATTTTTCCATCTTGATTGTTGGTAGATATAGGTATTTTTAATATTTGCTTGAATTTAATAAAGTTTTATTGTATGTGTACTTGACATTTTAAAGTCAATATTACCATTTGTATAACCATAATATACATATTGTGTATACTAAGCATTTAAGTAACTGGGTATGTGAGGAATAGGTTTCTATATTATTTAAATATATTTACTTTAATTGAAATAATTAAAGTTGGCATGCAATTATCTTTTTATGAAGGTGATGATCTAGTATAATATAAATATT